ATGCTGCTCTAAGGCACTGTACTTCCTGAACAGCCTCTCCCTGCAGTAAACACTCTTCCGGCTGCCCCTGTGCAACGTGCACATGATGTTATGACCTTTGAGGAGCCAGAAAACTGTGAGGGAGAAGCTTTCCCCCGCCAGCGCACTCTGGCAGCTAACAAGCAACCTGGGATCAGTCCACCAGTTCCACCTCCCGTTTTCCCTCCACAGTCTTGGCCAGTTCCTCAGTTTCAACATCCTCCTCCATTTCCGCCCGCTCCCTCATATTTGCACTCCGCATTTATTTATGCTCCATGGCAGCAAGCTCTTCCATGTCCTGATGCTCCTCCACTGCAGCAACCTCCTCCAGCGTGCCTTCCATCTCAGCCAAGGCAATGTGCCTGGAGGCTGAATAAAGCTGCCCAGGAGGATGAGGAGCTAGTGTCAAGGGGGGAACCGCCAAAGAAGAGGCTATCAAAAGAGCAGTACTACTACACCTGCATGCAGTGTGGCCAGGACAAAAGCAAAAGAATTGGATACACCCAGATGAAGGGGCGGTGGTACTGTCCAGCCTCAGGACTGTCCCTGGAAGACTGGAGGAACAGTTTACAGTAGGGGTGATATCAAAACCTCACGATACGATATCGTCACAGTATGAACCTCACGGTACCTTATTTATTGCGATATCATGGGAAAGCTCACGATATGGTGAGGAGGCTCACGATTAGGAACGTAACAATATCCAAATCTCTTGGTGCGATGTTTTCACTATATACATCTCACGGTAGGATATTTATTGCGAAGTTTTGTGGAGGTTAAACAGCTAAAACTGTTACTGTGCTACTTTTTCCTCTTTAAAATGCCTTGACAAGATTTAATCCAAAGAACTAAGTCTTAAAACAACTGTTATTTCTTTATGTAGTCTACACTGAATTGTTACATCCCTAGTTTACAGTAGTTTTATTGTTTCAGCTTCATCTTGATGATGATGATTATTGTTATTATTGTTGTTATAATATTATTGTTATATATTGTGATATTGTTACATTATATTGTTATTATGTTATTCTATATTGTTATATTACATGGTTATACTTTTATTATTGTTATTTAATCATTTATTTAATTTTGTTTAAAGGATTTGTTTTACAGCTCTTAATCATAGATATCTCTCTGTCTCTTCTCTCTCCTCTCTCCCTCGTTCTTCTCGTCCTGTCTGTTCATACATGGTTTGTAATTTTTCTTTGCTTTCTTACTGTGTGGTACAATGTTACATTAAAGTTTTGATCATTTTATTGGAGTCAAGAACAGTGTTTTTATTTAATTTCCTGTTTAAAAACAGGACAGTGAGTGTCATACACTGAATAACTTGAAGTCAGAATTACTTGCAGGATCATTTTACTACTATTTTACTTACATTTATTCACAAAACCCATCACTCTTTGCTCAGTTTAGAATTTGTTTTATTCACTTGTTGCTGCACTGAGCTACTCTCTCAAATAATTGAGTTTATTAAAAAGTGAGGGGACATATGATGGCAGAGTTATCTACATACACTGTTAAATTTGTTTGGTTTTACTAGCACCTAGTAGGCCTTAGGAATGTCAGAAGCGCTGTGTTACTTTGGGAAGCTGCCTGTTCGAATCTCACAAAACACACGAAAATTAAAGCGATGATACACCTTGCAATAAGTGCTGAAGTGAGGGTAAACAATGCTGAAAAGATAATAGATAAGAAAACAATAATATAATGGACATTTCCCTCCTCTTCTCTCCTTTTCTTTTTCTCCCTTCCCCCCCTCTTTCCTCCCTACAGGTCCTAACTCTACGTCACGTCAGTCACGTAGGCAAGGGGGCGGGGATGTCGTGGTACAGGAAGTTTACAGTAGCGGTCATTTTACACGTTTTTCAAAAGTTCGGGGAAAGGGTAAGTTTGGAAATTTGCTTAGTACTCATAATAAACTATATTATTGCTAACTGACAGAATCAGTAGCCCAAGTATTATTTATTGGTTTATTTTCCGTATAAACTCCGTTGATTTCGCGGGAAAAGACGTGAAATAATCGTCCCAAGTTTCATTGTTTTCTCGCAAGTCCTTCAATACAGATGTACGAATTTACATAGGGGGCGCGAGGACGACCCAAGGTAGTGGGCTGTGGAGTTAATGAGGTTACATAAGGTCAACATAGCATAATCTACAGAATGCGCACATAGCTATTTTATATGGTCTATTCACACCGCTACGCTACACAATGCACACATGGCTAATTCATGTGATAATTTATTCACGTGTAGTGACATTGGATATTATTATTTACCACAAGGGCTGTGATTGCTTTGTCTTTGTACAGAGGGCAAACCATAACTCTCCAAAGCACTGTAACTTTGCTACGTTTTCTTTGTATGAGAAATGATATAAATAAAGCCTGCAAAACATGTAGAATTTCCTCCCCTCCGTCTGTCTATACACGTATGGCCAAGCTCGACATTAAACTGTTTGATATTTAATGTTTGCAGATGACTAAGACAGGAAAGCCAGATAGTTCCTGGAGGGACATCTGCTTGAAGTATGCCCAGGACAAATTCCACTTTTCAGTTGGCAAACGGCCAGGGGCCAAGAAATGGAAAAAGGCCTTAGAGAGGATTGATGCTTGCCCCTGCACAGCCATGCTAAGGATCTGTTTGGGAGAAGCCTTCAGTGTACCCGTGGGTTCCACAAGGTAGGTGAAATGATTTACTAATTGATTAGTAAAGTACAAAAAGAGACAATTAAAGAAAGCTTTATTTCCCTCTTTTTGTACTCCCCCCAGCCAGCAGATCTGTCATCAGGTGCTGGGTCCAGTGAGGCAGGAGGAGTTGAGACGGAAGCAGGGCGAGTCCAAGTCGACACGGAGGCAGGGAGAGGAAACACGGACACAAGGAGAGGAGACACAGAGACAAGGAGAGGAGACATGCAGGCAGGGAGGCAGGGGGAGTTCGAGTCAGCACGGAGGCAGGGAGAAGAGACACAGAGGTAAGCGCGTCAGTGAAAGGACAGGGAGTGCTTTCACTATACAGCATTCATTATGCCATGACCACAAAAGGTACGCAATCTCTGCTCACTCAAAAAATGTATAAAATACAACATGTATAATTACAAAAAAAACCAAAAGGAAATTGGTTTGCTTCTTGTGCTTGTATTTGGTTTACAGATCACCAAGAAGCTGGCTGGTGGAATAGGGGGCAGTGCTGCGTGGATGACCAACATCCGCAACGAGTTTGACCAGGTTCTGAACTCTGTTCTGACGACGGGTGAAGGTGCAGGGTTGGAAGAGTTGTGCCAAGGCGTCGTCACCCTTTATAAAAATGCAGGCCAAACTGAACCTGCGGTCATCTGTCGATCGGGACTTCTGCACCCAGACAGGTGGGTCTCTCTCTCTCTCACACATACACACAAACAGACACGCACAGAAGCACGCACAGACAGACACACGCGCACACACACACACAGAAACACACACGTACACACAGAAACACACATGCAACAACAGACACACACACAGAAACAGATACACACACGCGCATACACAAAAACATAAGCACACACAAACGCACAGACAGAAACACACATGTGCACACAGACACACAGGCACACACAGAAACACACATGCAACAACAGACACATGCACACACACGCACACACAGAAACACACACGCACACACAGAAACACACATGCACACACAGCCACACACACACAGAAACACACGCGCACACACCGACACACACTCGCAAACACAGAAACACACACAGACACACACACAGAAACACAAACGCACAGACACACTCACACACAGAGAAATACACATACACACATATTACAAGATAATCCCCCCTCCACTATCCCCTCCTGATTTTTTTTTTCACTGACTACAATGCTCTTTTGTACTGATGCACTATTTTCTTGAATTTTGGAAATTGGAAATAGCCAAAAGTTTTCACGTTGAATTGACATGAATTGACAGTGTTGCCTTAAATGAAGGGACAGAGACAGGATACATGCACATGCCTTTATTGAACAACACTGGAACTGTACATCCCCCTCAGAACACTGCACACAGAGCCAACACACAGCACCAGGTCAACTCAACAGGCATTAAGACTTTTGGCACTGTCATTTCTTCAGCCACAAAACAATCCTAAAGACTAATTGATGCATAAAATTAAACAGAAAAGCAAATTAGTTCAACATTTTCAAAAATTCATACACTAATCTAAATAAAATATCGTTATGTTTGGCTGTGGCGACAGTGAGGCTTCATTAAAATTTGGCATAGCATGTTTTGAAGAAAAAAAAAAAATCATATTAATCAGCACCATAAATAGTTACAAATAAAGGCAAGGTAGAGACATTGCAAATACGCTTTACATGTGTCAGTAGTTTAATACTATTGGAATCAGGGCTTGACGTCAACTTTGCAATGGAAAGTTTTTCAGATAAAATCAACAATTAATTTATGAATTTAAGTTTTGTGGTTTGGAGTATTGTAGATTTGTATTGTACATGTTTTTAAAGATACACTAAGCAACTATTCTGTTGGAGGGTTAGTCACATACTTGTCTCCACAGAGCTGTTACCGCCAGGGTTGGGCTGGGACTAAAAAACGGCCCTGGACTTTTCCCCCACAAAGCCCACTGTGGAAATTGAGGACCTATGTTATTACTGCCCTCTGCTGTTAGTACGGCCCACCACACCAGCCCAAATGTGGTCTCAGGTGGAACAGCCTACAGGGCATTTTCCCAGCAGTACACAGTACCAGTCTGAGCCTGGGTACTGCTTTGTAAAGAATGTTCCTTATCAATTGCCATGAAGACAACAGGTCAGTACTTACACCAAACACAAGGCTAAGGTCTGTGAACAATAAAGATGCCTATGTTTAATGCAATACTGTGGAACTTTCCAGACAAAGCAAAGATCTCCATGAACACTGGTATGTGGCAGTGGCATACCCTGCACCAAAAGTTTCAAAAGTTACATAGATTAGTATTGAAAGGAGCACTAACGATACATAAAATCATAAGAATGTAAAATAATACCAACAAACTGAAATGGAGAGTGCATGTACTAGTTAGAATCTACTAGCATTTTTTTTCTGTTAGCTACATGGAAGTATAATAAGATCTGAAAGATGAAAAAAGAGTGCCGTCGTATTGGTTTCAAAGGACAATCAGCGCGGAGCAACTGTGGGCCAGGCTAAAGCTTACAAAACTAACTTTTATGCATTTTGAGGTTTGAAAAATTCTAAAAAGTTCATGTAGTGAAAATAGAAAAGAATCCAACAAAATCCAACCCTTGTGAATGCTATCAATGTTTTGTCAGATGAACATGGGCAGTTTGATTTCACAAAAAATACATGACGTTGTGTGGGAGAATTCCTTTTGGGCCAGAGCTGCAGCACCTATGGAGCGGTCACTAATGAAACTCGTGCCAGGACAGAGAGAGTGTGAGAGGCGGAGTGTCCAGTTCTTATTATAGATTCATGGTTAGCGACCGTAAGTTTTGACGTCAAGTTCTGATTTGGACCTGTACTCATAGTGGCCCCATGAACCTGGTCCAATCCAACTGCCCAGAGAAACAAATAAATTATATTATTATTACTATCACACGTATCACTTAAAGCACTAACACTTTTCACATCCTCGATCTTCATACAAGCAGAGATGGACAATCTATCCCTGGAGGAGTTGCTCAAATCGAGTATGCACAACACATTTTGAGATTACAAGAACATCCAAGAAAACTGGTTTGTTTACATGGTTAAGCAAATAAATACAGGGAAGTACTGTCGCGTAAACCTAAGTGGAAAGCTAATAGTCAGCAGATGGACGGTGAATGCGGGGGTTGCGCTTGGTGGCGTTTTGCGTGTATCCCCTGTGGAGGGGAAGGGGGGCTTATTCCAGGTCATCCACGCCCACGTCATCTGTGGCCAGGGTGCTGGTCATCTCCGACGTCACACCTGGAACACACACACATAGGCATCATTAGAGAAGAGACTGATATTTACACTTTATCTAATTTTATTTATTCATTTTAGTGAATAAACTTCTTACAGCAAAGAAAAAAAAAATTCTCACACGTTTGAAAACATCTGAAGAAAACAGTAATGAGCCCATGTGTATAGAATCCCTCAGTCGTCCAAGTGGAATCCATGGCAAAGGAGAAATTCAATTTGTCAACTGAACAAACATTTATTTAGGTCACAAACGTTTCACAGCTCATCCAAGTTGCTTCTTCATTTCTGGTCAGATGCTGGTGGACACCGTCTTACATCTGCCTGCAGGGAGGAGCTAACTACACTGAAACTACTCAGAAACTAACACCCTACTTGTTTACAGTTTGTGTTTGTTAACTAGGCCTATTCATCTGTACTGAGTGTGGGGTCATATTAAAATAATCATTCAGGCCCATAATGAATGTTTTCACACCTCTGGACCTGACCTGGCTACCCCTATTGTTCTCTTTGTTTTAGGTTTGAGGATGGAGTTGTAGATTGGAGACAGATGTCTGAGGCCTCCATTTCTGTTCAAGGATGGATTGTCTTTCTTAACAAAAATAGCCTCTTTAACTCCCCTCTCAAACAAATTCTTTTCTCTGAGGATAGTGAGGTACATATCTGAGCCAATGGAGTGGCCCAAGGCTTTTAGGTGGAGATGTACGGCAGACTGAGGTCCACTGCTGCCCTCATGTGTGTTGGTACATCCTTTTATGGAGTGGCTGTTTTGTTTCTCCAGTGTTACTGCAGTCTTCACTACACTGAATGGAGTAGAACACACTGTTATTTGTGGCTCAGTGTTTTGTCCTTTGGGTGGACCAGTTTCTGTTTTAAATTGTTTGTAAGATTGAAAAAGACTGGAATTTCATGTTGTCTAGGGATAGCCACGTCAGATCCAGAGGTGTGAAAGCACTCATTATTATGGCCCTCAATGATTATGCTAATAAGACTCCACACTCAATACAGATGAATAGACCTAGCTAACAAACAGAACTGAAGAAGCAGCTTGGATGAGCTGTGAAACATATTCAACCAAAATAAACGTTTGTCCAGTTGACAAATTTAATGCCATTTGCCAATAAAGGGCACATATTACAGAAATTTTCTGATCTGTGTTCTAATGTAGTTTCCTCCTCAAAAACATACAAGTTGTTTTGTTTCATTCACACGTTTAAAACACAAACCTTGCATATCTAGGCTGAGTTCTTCTCTCAAGCAGAAAACACTCAGTTTCACCTTGTGATGTCATGTCGTAATACAGTGCTCCACTGTGTTTTTAAACTCCATATACTTTCAATAGAATCATTTCAATCAATTCTGCCCTGGAATTGCCAATCTACTGAACAAATGTAAAAGGAGCTGATAATTGTAAAACTACAGCTTCATGACATCATGGTGGAACAAAGCATTCTGAGCTTTGGAGATGCAGACAGACTAATAATAATGGGTTACTGAAACATGTGAATGAAACAAAAACTCCACGTATGTTTTGAGGAGGTAACAATGTCCAAACCCTAATCTATGACAGTTTGGTTGTGCATGTGGCTAGAGTTCTAGTTCAAACATCTAGTGTAGCATGTGACAACAAAAGTCAAATCTAGATTCATTAATAATGTTATGTAAATGCTCTTTTCCTGGAGTGGCTAATCGGCATTCAAACGGGATTTAGATATGGGGACAGTGAGTCTGTCCTAAAAAGGCCGATCAGATTTGTGGTCCAGACATCAGGGTTCATCATGGGGACAAGGCGGACAAGTATTCTGTCCCAGATCTGCACTGTCACCTGATTCTGTTTCTCAGTGTTGTTTTTGCTACATTTGAAAACCTAAAGGTATACTGTACAACTTGGGTGGAAGGTACCTGCTTATGTTCATGAAGATGACATTTCCTTGCCTGGAATGTTTCATAGTATGGCATTAAACTTGTCCAATTGTATTTATTCAATTATAGGTATAGCATTGTCTGTGGTCCATTGTTGAAGCTAGGGACTCAACAATGAACAAAATGAACTTGTACAATTTGCCTGCAGGGAGAGTCAAGACATCTAATCCAAGCATACAACGTGCAGCAAATATTTAAATAGCAGAAAAAGTTTCTTTGTGTGTGACATTTGTTTTGTATTGCTAATTTTTGGTATGTCTGTATGTATTATATGTATTATTTAAAGAAAGATAGGAAAGATAATAGTACTTGAAGTGTCATCATCTGCGGATTTCTTCTCCTCCACGTAACCATGACTCAGCAGTTTGGACATGCTGACCGGAGGAGCCTTCTTCTCATAAGACCTGAGCAGGACAAAGAGCAGCGTCAGACTCTCTACTACAACTATACATGCTAAAATGACTTATTTCACAAGATTTACCAGATTGGAGTAGTTTGAGTAATGTATCGAGTTAGGCTAAATTAGCCGACAAGTCTTAAATGTTTTTTTTTACAAGTTCTTAGGCCTGTAACAATAATCAATAAATCAATTCATCTCATGATCATTTTTAACAAGCTTGATAACTTTTCCGGCCGTGATGATTTCTATTTACATGTTTGTTTTCTCGTGTCTCTATCTCTACCAAAGAGACTGAATGTCAAAAGGCTTCTATCGCTCTCTACTGACTCCTCTCATTTCCTTAGTGTAAGGACTCTTGAACGTTCGTGTCAATTAGGCTACTTGCCAGCATAGACTGTATAAAAAAATAGACTAAGTGAGTGCGACGTCACTCATTCAGCTCCACTCAAATAAAGCTTGTGATGCGACCGGTTACAGGAGCGAATATGGAGCCATTCATGTTATGAATAGGATTTTTTTAATGGACAAAACAACGGAACAGGATCATGTAGAGCGGGTTAATACAAACATTTAAGACTAAAATGATGAGACTCCCAGCAGCAGGTACAGAGAGAGGAGCTACAATATTCCAGTGTAAGTCAATGGGAGCCAGGGTCATAAGGAGCCGGAATGATCTTGTACAACCACAGTAGAGAGCACTGCGAGGAATAGAAAGTCACAAGCCAGTTGAAATTTGAAAACATGTAGTTTCAAAGCGAAATCAAACACAAAATCTGCAGAGTGGACCCACTTTTAAGGGCAATTTTGTTACAGAGAATCCATTGTATTTGGTTCAACAATAGTTTATTTAGGTGCATTTTTTGTTAACAAGTCCTCACTGTAAGCAAGACTATTCTTATGTTGACAAGTCTATTTTATTTAGGCCTGTTGTTTTTGGTTGTCTTGCAGTTCCTATGTTAAATGTTCTTTATAAAGTAAAGTTTATTGATCTTTGAAAAGATGTATTTGCATTTTTATTCCATTGTCATTATATTAGTTGAAAATGGTCTCAAAATGTCAGTACTTTTGTTTATCACAATAATTTCTCAGTCAATTAATCGTCCAGCAAAATCTGTTATGGTTACAAGACTACATGTTCTACTTTACTATTACATAACACAATTCTAAAAATGGTTAAGCTACATGTAATCAGTGTCACAATACAAACCAAAAAGACTAAACAAGTAGAGAGAACATTTTTACATTTTAATAAAAACTGTCAGCACTTGCGAACAACAATACCAGTCCGATATCATAGTGTCAATAAGTAGACTAAAGCTATTCAATTTTAAAGTAGAAGAGCAAAAAATAAATCTACTAAGACATTATTTCTAAAGAAATTCTACAGAATAAATTAGATTCTGAGAACTAAGTGAGTCAAATATAGAATGATCTTGACCATAAGTTGTGCTGATTTAAGCACTTACACTTTTCTAACTCATTACTTTCTACCACAGTGAATGCAAAAAAACAGCTGTGCACACTTGACCACACTAAATGCTAAATGAAGATATCAAAGATGTAACATAAATAGGCTTGTCCCGATCTGATCACGTGATTGGAAATCGGCATCAATCACGTGACTGCGGACTCGATCCGGACTGGGACGTCATGTGCCGATCAGGTATCAGATAAATAATATACGTATATAACACACAGCGCACACTGCACACAACAGTTTTTCTGAGGCGCGGGATTTGCTCATGGACGTCCAGTTAGTGCAACTATCTGCCCCAATGCCTGCTGTACTAGAGGCGCACTTGTGCTGGGACTTTCGGACCATGCCGTACCTGGACGCTCTTACTTGGGGTTCTGTAGCCCGTGTTCACACCTGCACGGCCTATGATGTCAATGCACGGTGCTGTTTGTTGCAAACAGCACCGTGCTGTTTACAACAGCGGAGCTGGCGCTTTTGAGGGGGTCTGTCCAGCGGCATGGAGTGTCTATTGAGCGGTGGGACCGAAGTTGTGATGCGCGCTCCGCTGTGGGTTTGTGGATGTGGTGGTGGTGCGGGGGAGAGAGGCTGTGGGGCTTCTGTCATCTAATTTTTATGTGGTAAGATCTTGTATTATTTGGATATCATAGATGAGCCTAAATGTTTAAAATGTAATGCACAGGCTTCCATATAATATCAAATATACAAACTAGGACCCGACCGATATGGATTTTGTTGCGGCCGATATGATACCGATATAATGGGAATTGGAGCTGCCAATAGCCGTATAATTGCCGATATATTTAGTGATGTAAAAATTCACTGTTAATTTTGAATTTTTCAAAAAACTTAGGTTTGGCTCTGGTGGATTTTAAATTGGGTTTATTTAGGCAACATTTATTGTTATTCTGACTCTTTACATCATATTTACAAACAGTAGGTCGGCCTAATGGCATTTTTGCATCACATTCTAACTACTAGTGATGGATATTCCAGTTCTTTTTAGAGAACCGGCTCTTTTGGCTCGGCTCACCAAAAGCAGCTGGGTCTTTCAACTCCCAAGCAGCTCTTCAGATTGTTCTGTTGCAAGCAGGACTAAACCAGAACTGAACCAGGACTGAAAAAGGACTAAACCAGGACTAAAACAGATCTAAACCATGTGTAAAACAGGACTAAACCAGAACTGAACCAGGACTGAGTGTTGGGACTCTGTCTCTATCTCTCTCCCTCTCTTGAGCCCAAGATTAATCCTGGTTTATTTATTTTATGCTGAATTACAGCCAAATATGCACGTTTTTTCTATCCTACGCACACGCATATTTCTGAAAGTTTCATTTTCAGCCGCTGCCGCTGTCAAACTACCACGAGTCTGCACGCAGCCTGAAGAGAAAAAAAGTGAGAGAAAGAGAGAGGGTGAGAGAAAGAGAAAACACGGCTCCCAATAAGGAGCTGGCTCCCGTCGTTCGCTTCAAAGAGCTGGCTCTAAGAGCCACTTCGTTCGCAACCGTCTCATCTAGGGATGGGCATTCGATGAAATTTTCTTAATCGATCGTCGGAAGAATTAACGATCGATTATCGATTAATCATTAACGTTTTTATATTAAAATGATCATCATTATTATTACTATCTGCACTACTAATCTGCATAAATCAATTCAACTTTACAACATATAAACCGTAGCCACTCTAGAGCCACAATAATCCGTTTGACATTATATTGTGTTTAATTCAGTTTTGTGCAAATCTCACAGAAACGAAACTTAAAACCGCATCGCTTTAATTTAATTTGCATAAACTAAGCGAAGATAAAAAAAAAAAACAGCTCTTGTGCGCTGATGCGGTCAACGTCTGTCGGATTAAAAGAGATGACTCAGTGGAATACAGGTTAGTGTGACCAGATGACCAGACCGTACGGGGCGGGAGGTGGGGACTCGTCATCGACATTATACTACTCTCACCTGGCAAAGCTTTTTCCCACTGGACACCGAAACGGAAAGCGTGGAATTTCCTGTACAAGTCATCGTTAAATATGCATTTGTGCTTCGTTACGTTGCAGGCTGACTGAATGTTTCTGTCTGCTTGCTCCTTCTGAGTGCAGAGAGCTACATGTACAGACCCTGTTTGGTCACGCTACGCACAGCAACCTACATTCGGTTTGTCGATTAAAATTAACGTAATCGATGAAATTCTTAATGATCAATTATCGATTAATCATGCCCATCCCTAGTCTCATCACTACTAGCTAGTAAAGAAAGTAAACTACCGCTATTAGCCTTTAGCCGTAAATGCTGCGCGCCGCGGTAATTAATTATATGCATAAATGTCATCTACACGTCTATTCACAGCTCATTTACATATCAAAAATTTAAGTTTTGGACATTTGAATTACACATGATATCAATACAATCTGATCCCCCATACATCCTGGATATTTATTGCTCTTAGTTCATTTTATAATGTTTTATAAAAGTCGGATTGGCACTCGGTATCGGCAGATACTGAAAATCAAAGGACTCGGAGGGGACATCCCTAAACACAAATGTCTTGTCATTTATCAGCATGTATCATTAGACACCAACATAAACAGCGGCTGCGCTCTATTCTACAAGTCTTCATTGTGGAAAATCCATATACATACATACGCATATCGGATCGGTGATTTGATCTGAGTACTCGTTGATACCGATGAAAAAAGTGCGGTATCGGAGGTTTCATGGACACCAGTATCATATCGGAACAACCTTACCTTTAACCGGTCAAAACTACTCAAATTTGGATGAATATTCTGAATGCAAGTCATTTTATGTCATAGGCCTCACGTTCTCTTGTACTTGTGGGTTATGGACAGGGCCTCCATCTGCTGGACCGCACCATCCGGAGATGCCTGGGGAGAGAGAAGGAGATGTTAGAAAGGGGTTGGGTTGTCACATATGAAAAACATGGGGATGGAATCAGCGCAAAACATGCCACATTAAAAACATGAGAAAATGAGTTAATTTAGTCTGGTGAGTGAAAATGAAAAAGTCCTGAAAGCTTTGAACACATCACAAAACCTAAATGAAACGAATGATCAAAATGGCGGATGACTGAAATGAGGAGGTGATAGGATTCAAAATGGTGTTGGTGGATCCGTTCACCTTCTTGGTACCAGAAAACCTATCAGACTCCTTCTCCCAGTGCACCTCGCTATCGGTGCCAAAGGGGGCAGTTAGGGGCTGCCTCCCCTTGGGCTGACCATCAGGAGAGCTGCCGTTACTTCCACTGCAATCACAAAACCACTCAGTTCAACAAGAGCTCCGACACAAGAAAAAGGTCTCCCTCTTTGGTGGGATGCTCCGCTGACATGCTTTCCTCATAGTTAATTGTTAAAAGACAGAGGACATGAACATCCACAAAAATGAAATGCCATGCAGGAGAAGTGGGTTTACCTTTTGGATTCATCGTTGCCAAAAAAGTTAGGTGGCGAGTAGGCCTTCCTGGGTGCATCTTCAACAATGTCATGGCTCAGCAGACCTAAGGACAAAAAACAGGCAACAAGTATTAGAAATTGAATAATCTAGAGCGCTGTCATCTTTTTACAAAGTAAAAGGTCCTGCCTCTTTCAAGTATCTCGAAGCCTTGTTACAGAGTGAGGGGAGGATGGGGCGTGAGGTTGACAGGCAGATCAGTGCAGCATCTGCAGTGATGTGGTTACTGTATCGGACCTTTGTGGTGAAGAGGGAGCTGAGCTGAAAGGCAAATCTTTCGATTTACCGTCAATCTACGTTCCTCCCCTCACCTATGGTCATGAGCTTTGGGTAATGACCGAAAGAACAAGATCGCCAATACAAGTGGCTGAAATGAGTTTCCTCCGCAGGGTAGCTGGGCGCTCCCTTAGAGATAGGGTGAGGAGCTCAGTCACACAGGAGGAACTCGGAGTAGAGCCGCTGCTCTGAGAGGAGCAAGTCGAGAGGAGCTGCTGAGGTGGTTCGGCCATCTGTTTCGGATGCCTCCTGGACGCCTCCCTGGGGAGGGGTTCTGCGCATGTCCCACCGGGAGGAGGCCCGAGGGAAGACCCAGGACACGCTGGAGGGACTATGTTTCTCAGCTGGTGTGGGAATGCCATGGGATCCCCCGCAACCCGGCCCGGATAAAGCGGAAGAAAATGGATAGATGGAATAATCAGCAAAATCCCCAATTTATTCAATACCGTTAGATAATCAACTGTGCCAAGTGCCAACTGGATCCACTGTAGACAGCCATAAGCCCTCACTGGCCCCTTCGGGTACAAGACATCAAAATGGCCCTCTATACATAAACCATTACTTTATTACTACCATTACTGATGGCATACTGCTGTGTTATCAAACAGTGCCAGCTTTGGCCTGACAAAAGGTGATTAGAGAGCATAAGTGAACCTTGAGCTATGACTTGAACAAAATTACTTCAATTTAAAAAAAATATAATTTTATATAACACTTAAAACAAGTCCAAGGAATTAATTTTTACTAACAAAAAGATTCATCTCATCTTATTTAGTTAAGTACTGGAGGCAAAAGTAAAATGCTTTTCAGTCCCTCTTACCTTTATGTCCTCCCTGCTTGGCCAGTTTGACATAGTCCGAGTCGCTCTCGAAGATGCCCACCCGTCTGCAGCTGATGCGCTCAGTCGGGGAGGTGTTGGAGGAGATCTGGGACAGACCAGGGATCTGGGAGCTGGGACCGGTCACTCCAATGGACCCAGCCCCGGGTTTTATGGCTACAACACACACATAATATCACATTCATACACACAAGTCTGGATAAGAGTGTCAACAACCCAGCCCATTACGATAACTAAAATGTATCGAGTTATACACAAAACAAACATTGTTCAATATATGATAGATGGAACAATAATTTTGGGGGACAATATTTATTTAAATTTTTCTGCAGTATGATCTGAATTGAACTAGAGAGGGTGGAACTTATCAAAGATATAAACCAAATACTACTAAGTGTTTCATGCTGGTATTTATTTTTGGAGCTCTTGTAAAGTGAGCGCCTGGTGGCCAGGCCTTCCCCCATGGGGCCTGGCCAGGCACAACCCAAAGGAGCAACATGGGGCCGCCCTTCCATGGGCCCATCACTTGCGGGGGGATCCATATGGGGCCGGTGCAGAGAGATCTGGGTGGCGGTCGAAGGCGTGGGCCTCGACAACCGGATCTCTGGACATGGAGACTAGCTCTGGGGACATGGAACGTCACCTCACTGGGGGGAAGGAGCCTGAGCTTGTGCGGGCGAGCTTGTGTTGAGAGTTACCAATTATATATAGTCGGCCTCACCTCCACGCACAACTAATTGAGATAAGCTGGACTCTCTATTTCTCTGGCGCTGGTCGCAAGGAGCAGCGGCGGGCTGGTGTGGGCCTGCTCATTGCCCCACAGCTCAGCTGCCGTCTGTTGGAGTTCATCCCAGTGAACGAGAGGGTTGCGTCCCTGCGCCTTCGGGTCAGGGACAGGTCTCTCACTGTAGTGTAGGCCTACGGGCCGAACAGCAGTGCAGAGTACCCAGCCTTTTTGAAGTCCCTAGGAGGGGTACTAGACAGTGTACCGACCAGGGACTCCATTGTTCTACTGGGGGATTTCAACGCCCATGTGGGCAACTACAGTGACACTTGGAGAGGGGTGATTGGAAGGAACAGCCTCCCTGAGCTGAGCCCAAGTGGTGCTCTGTTACTGAACTTTTGTGCTAGTCACAGTTTGTCCATAACCAACATCATGTTCGACCACAAGTGTTTCCATCAGACCTGGCAGGCCCAAGTGTAGTGAGGGCCTGTTGGTAATGTCTGGCGGAGCCCTCCGTCAGAGGGACTTTCAACTCACACCTCCGAGAGAGCTTCTCCCAGATTCCTGGGGAGGCTGAAGACATGGAGTCCGAGTGGACTTCGTTCTCGGACTTAATTGCTGATGCAGCCGCTTGTAGCTGTGGTTGTAAGGTCTGTGGTGCTGGTCGCGGCGGCAATCCCCGAAACCGGTGGTGGACACTGGAAGTAAGGGATGCTGTCAGGCTGAAGGAGGAGCCTATCGGGCCTTGTTGGTTCGTGAGACTCCTGAGGCAGCTGAGGGGCACCAACGGGCCAAGTGTGCTGCAGCCCATGCAGTCGCAGATGCAAAACTCTGAGCTGGGAGGAGTGCGGGGAGGTCATGGAGGATGACTATCGGACGGCCTCAAAGAGATTCTGGCAAACCGTCCGGCGCCTCAGGAGGGGGAAGCAGTTTTTCACCAACATTGTTTACAGTGCGGGGGGAGAGCTGTTGACCTCGACTGGGGACATTGTCGGGCGGTGGAAGGAATACTTTGAGGATCTCCTCAATCCCACCATCACGTCTTCCGAGGAGGACGCAGAGGCTGGGGACTTGGAGGCGGACTCATCCATCACCCTGGCTGAAGTCACTGAGATGGTTGGCAAGTTCCGTGGTGGCATGGCTCCGGGGGTGGATCAGATCCGTCCCAAGTATCTTGAGTCTCTGGATGTTGTGGGGCTGTCTTGGCTGACATGTCTCTCCAACATCACATGGCCCTAGCAAACCGGGGTGGTGGTCCCTCTGTATAAGAAGGGGGATAAGAGGGTGTGTTCCAACTACAGGGTTAGGGTTACACTCGTCAGCCTCCCCGGTAAGGTCTATGCTGGGGTACTCGAGAGGAGAATCCGACCGATAGTCGAACCTTGGATCCAGGAGGAGCAATGTGGTTTTCGTCCTGGCCGGGGAACACTATACCAGCTCTACACCCTGGGTTTGGGGACTGCAGGATCTCATCTCTGCTGTTTTCAGATAATGTAGTTCTGATGGCTTGATCAAGCCAGAACCTGCAATGTGCACTGGGGCGGTTTGCAGCCGAGTTTGAGGCGGCTGAGATGAGGATCAGCTTTTCTAAGTCCAAGGCCATGGTTCTCGACCAAAAAAAGGTGGCTTGCCCTCTCTGGGTGGGTGGAGAGTCCTTGCCTCAAGCAGAAGAGTTCAAGTATCTCAGGGTCTTGACTGCTGCCCCCGGGATCCAACCCCGGATAAGGGGAAGAAAATGGATGGATGGATGATCACGTATCGTATATATATTTTTTCCACAACATACTGCACTACAAAATATGTTATCGTGACAAGTTTAAGGACACCATATCAAACAGCTATGTTCAGGATTTAACATTTTGTGTTATAAATGCATTAGAACTCACCTCCAGGTTTGACCCGTCTGTGGTTGGGGACAGCAGTACTCATTTTCAGACACTTCTGAGGAACAGAAGACATGGTCAGCAACATCTAACTGAAGACAGTTTAAACAATCACAATGGCTGCACTTATTCAGGTCCTCCAGTTGTTAACAGATCTGACTATCTCTAAAGCCGTGTCTAAATTGAGATGCGTTATCCTAAATAGGTTAGCCTAGTCTTTATAGCATTAAGTGAGTAAATGAGTTAACGGTGTAAGAGATTAGAGCCTGACCGATATGGATTTTGTTGTGGCCGATATGAAACCGATATAATGGGAGTTGGAGTTGCCGATAGCTGATATTATTATTATTCAATTCTTTTTATTTACTTTTATAAATGTTTAAACATACATAAACATAGCATAGCACAAAAACAACAACAAGACAGCAGGCAATTCCAAATGAAAGAAACAAAAAATAAATAAATAGCCGATAGCTGATATAATCACCGATATATTTAGTGATGTAAAAATTCACTGTAAATCTTGAACTGTTTAAAAAACTTAGGTTTGGCTCTAGTGGATTGTAAACTGGGTTTATTTAGGCAACATTTATTGTTATTCTGCCTCTTTATGTCATATTTACAAACAGTAGGTCGGCCTAATGACATTTTTGCATCACATTCTAGCTACTAGTGATGGGTATTCCAGTTCTTTTTAGAGAACCGGCTCTTTTGGCTCAGCTCACTAGTGGCTCTTCAGATTGTTTTGTTGCAAGCAGGACTAAAGCAGGTATAAACCAGGACTGAAAAAGGACTAAACCAGGACTAAAACAGCTCTAAACCATGTGTAAAACAGGACTAAACCAGAACTGAACCAGGACTGAGTGTCGGGACTCAGTTTCTATCTCTCTCCCTCTCTCAAGCCCAAGATTAGCCCTGGTTTATTTATTTTATGCTGAACTACAGCCAAACACATTTTTTTTTTATCCTATGCACACGCATATTTCTGAAAGTTTCATTTTCGGCCACTGCTGCTGTCAAACTGCCACGAGTCTGTACGCGGCGTGAAGAGAAAAAAAGTGAGCGAAAGAGAAAACACGACTCCCAATAAGGAGCCGGCTCCCGTCGTTCGCTTCAAAGTGCCAGCTCTAAGAGCCACTTCGTTCGCGACCGTCCCATCACTACTAGCTAATAAAGAAACTACCGCTATTAGCCTTTAGCCGTAAATACGTGTGCGCCGCTGTAATTAATTATATGCACAAATGTCATAATTCGCACCTCTATTCACAGCTCATTTACATATCAATGCAAGTCCAGTAACAAATATACAGCCAATGTAGTCAATTTACAGTAGGCCAATAGAAAACAGCCTGTTTATGTGTGAGAGCTACAGCAGCTAACAATAACAAATGACCAAAACTAGCTTCAAAGTCGACATATTTCCAACACTCACCACTCACACAGGCTCCTCCTCACATCACAAGTCCGCACTAATAAATGTCCTTTTAATCCAGACTCAAACCGATTGTCCGTAAAAAGAATATAATCTCACTGTTTGGATCTATGTCTGCCGGTGTAAACAAATGTAAGTAAGTCAGTCTTTATTTATATAGCGCTTTCACAGTCATTTTCTGTCCCCAAAGACGCTTTACACAGCATTATTCAGCATTATTAATTCATACAGCATTATTCAATCACTCTATACCCTGGTGATGGTAAGCTACTATTGTAGCCACAGCTGCCCTGGGGCACACTGACAGAGGCGCGGCTGCCATGCCACTCGGCGCCATCAGTCCCTCCGACCACTACCATCACTCACACACACACCACTTTCATACAATGTGGGTGAAGTGTCTAAGGACACACAATGATTGAATTGATTGTATTTAACTGACCATGACTGTCAACTGTTCATGGAGACCTATGTAGCATGTTTTGGGTTGATGGGGGAAACCGGAGCACCCGGAGGAAACCCATCCAGACACGGGGAGAAACATGCAAACTCCACACAGAAAGGCCCAGGCGACCCGGGGATCAAACCCAGAACCTTCTTGCTGTGAGGCATGAGTGCTAGCCACTCAGCCACCGTGCCAACGTGGCATGACGTGAGTGACGTATGCTCAGGGACAGTACGGACACACACACTGACAGTTTAGTATAGTTTATTTTACTTATTTAGTGTCATGCACCATTTAGTTGGTGCCCAGCCCACATGGACTTATAAGACACATAAAACAATAAGCAGACAAATCACACATCAAACATAAAGTGTCTTCTTACGGAGGTCCCAGGCTTTCAGCACAAACTGAGCCAACTTAAAAACATGACATTTAAATAAATACTTAAGTCTCTCCTCATCAGACAGAACAAACCAACAGAAAGACACATTAGACAACAACTGACAGCGAAGGTCATGATACAAAGGACAGTAAAACAAAAATGCATTTCATTTTCAATGTCCTTTAAATCGCACAGAACACAAGTGCGCTCCTCCTCTGGGACTGAGTGGAAGCGTCCCGTCTCCAAGGCCAGAGGCAGAGTCCCACACCTCAACTGGGCACATACTGACCCCTGACCTCTGCTCAGGTTCAGGGTGACATATGGTTCAGGTCCAAAACAGTCTGTAATTAAGATATATGTTCTTAATTTTGGTTTACATAAGATGTCATAGTGCCACTTTTGTTTATACTTATCAAAGTAAATGTTCCTCGCTTGTCGAACACTACAGATTAACTTATTTCTGTAAATAAACTGGCTGGAGATCTGCAATCTCAAAAATTTTCTCCATCTCTCTACTCCAGGACGATTTATGTAACAGACTCCAGTTAAATACATGTTTGGTTAATCTTGTGTCTGGCATATTAACCAACCTGTTCCATAACCGCACCATGTCACAAATGTGTCTCACTTCACATGGTTCCAGCCCATATCTCCATACAGAGCAAGTTTAGGCGCCTTTTTGTGCACGCCTAAAAAGTACCTCACAGCTCTGCACTGAACTTTTTCACTGTGGGTGTGTTTACAGTAACCCCAGACTCCAGCTCCATAGTCCAGAACAGGACAGACACAGGCCCTGTACAGTTCAATGTAGGTTTTGTAGCCCAGTTCACGACATGCTTTAACTTTGTTTATCAGTGCACCTAAGGCTCGACCTGCTGACTCTGACAGAGCTTTGATTCCTTCATCAAATGTAAGATGTTCATCCAAAACAAGTCCCAAATATTTGTACTTTTTTGTTAAGGACAAGGAAGTGGCACCAAAATGGAATTGAAAGTTAGTCAATTTATGGCTCTGTTTTCTAAAATGAATCACCTGAGTTTTCTCACAATTTATCTTCAGTCTCATTTTGTTGCACCAGGTATGAACAATATTCAACATCCTCTGAAGATCCAGTTCATTTTCTGAAATAAGCACTATATCATCAGCATAAAGCAATATACACACTTTTAGATCACTGACAAAGGACTCCACAGATAAATACTGATGCAGAGCCACATATTACAACATTTATCTGTCTGTAAATTGGATTAAATGAACATAATGTATAGAGTCTAAGATTTATAAGTAGGTATCACATACCCACGTGAAATATCGGCCCCTATCAGCAAGCATATCGGCCGATATGTCGACAGGTCCCCATATTATATTATATTTAATATGATACTGAGTATTTTTTAGCCATTTTGGCAGATGGCTTTTGTCATTGAATTTATTTACTGCTGCTACCTTATCTACCTAACCTTGAAATTGAAAATAAATGCTTAATCCAATCATTTTGTATTCTCTTCCTTGCACAAAAATGAGAATTACATGGTGGTTAACAGCTGTGATGTTCTAGATTCCGAGTCTGGGACACATATTTTTATAGGCTAAATCAGGGGAGCTCACACTTTTTCAGCATGCGAGCTACTTACAAAATGACCAAGTCAAAATGATCTACCTAATACAAAGCCAAGCAAACTGCATTGAAACACTCTGTGCCCCTTTTTTGGACCCTCACCCACAGTTTGAGAACCCCTTCTTTAAGAGAACTTCCTCTGGCACTTTACACAAAACTATGAAAAAAGTGAAGGAAGTAGGTAAGATTTTTAAACCTGTTTTTTAAAGTTCCAAACTGGAGTTGCATTCTTTTCTGGTTTTGCAGTGATATTTACCAGCCTTTGCACATTTACCAAACCAAACGCAAATCGTGACAAACACAGATGCATTTGTGCACTTTTGTTAGGCAAACTTCAGCCAAATGTGGCAGTAGGTCTGTTCTGTAGGTCTGCTCTATGTTGTAGGCCTGCTTTGGGCAAACACTGTAGCACAAATTTAGACTCGTTTTTTCTTCACGTTTCGTCTTACTCTTCTAGTCAGCACGCACTGTGGAAGGGGCTTGTTTTCGCTGTACGCAGGAAGGAGCGAGAGCATGAAAAGGCGAGGGGCGGCGTGCTGACGTGAGGCAGATGGACAGGTAGGATGTTTAAGAAGTTTAACCTGCCCTGTGATGCATGCTGTTGCAGACGAGCCGTGCATAGGGAGCGTGTGTATTTGTGATGTGCCGTAGAGTCTCCACGGGTTTCAATGAGCTCACAGGCTGCACTGAGATGCCCCACACGCTCCTGCACCCCGCTACAAGTTTATTGCCAACAGCAGCGGCCGTAATGAAATATGATCGCACTTGTTGAGTGTCAGACCTTGAGTGAGAGTCAAGACCGAGTCCAAACGCGATTGGGTCCAAGACGAGTACTAAGGCTGCGTTCAGACTGCAGCCTGAAGTGACCCAAATCCGATTTTTTTGATTCTATGTGACCTGTATCCGATCTTTTAATGACAGTCTGAACGGCACAGATCCGAATTTTTCATATGCGACCCAGGCCACTTGGCTATGTGGTCCTGAAACCGATACATATCCGATCTTTTGACATGCGACTTCAGTCTGAACAGCCAAAGCACATCCATCCGACCTACACGTCATCAACAAGCGACAAACGTAACTATTCTGCGCTGAAGCAGGCGGAAACCGGAACTGTAAAATCGCCAGGTACTCAATGCTCGCGTCCATGTTTGGACAACTTCCGTAAACACAGAGCACGCTCGCTGCGGTTGACGCATGGGGTTGACGTCATCGTGTCCTCCAGTACGCATGCGGGACACTTTCAGGCCGTTTACCGTTCACACTGGAGTCACAGACAAGTCGCATTTAATTGTAAATGTGATCGACCTCGCAAAAACATCAGATTTCACAAAAAATCGGAATTGAGCATTTAGCCCTGCAATCTGAACGTAGCCTAAGACACGGCGATCTACCCACACGACCTTGGCGATCGACTGGTAGATCGGGATCGACGTATTGCGCACCCCTGGGCTAAATTATGGTCCAACTGAACTGACTAAAATGAAATAAGAAATCATAACCTACATTGTTCTGCAATGTACTTCATATATTTCATACATAAAAGCTAAATTTTCTAATTAGATGTTATGGTAAATCTAAAAACTAAAACCACATCATCTGATAATTTCTATCAATTACTACTACTTTAGGGTGACCGGACGTCCCTATTGGTGGTTTCCAGACTTTCAGACAGATGTCATACTCTCAGATTGGGGGCAAGGGCCAGTTTTCCCTATTGATTACATTGTACTTTCATGACAAATATCTAAAAAGTAAATTCACAAATGCTGAACCTGATCATTTTTATTAGTGACTAGACCCATGAACTCACTGTATTACAACAAAAAAATTAATAATACTTTTACCCCCAATCTGTATTAAATAATATTGGCCTATAGAATACTGTGATGTCATCTGCAACCCAGCAATTCACCTGGGACAGTCCCAGTTTTGAGCCCTGTGTTCCCTGTCCCAGCAGATTCACCCCAAAGCAGTGATTTGTCCCAGTTTTATACATTTTGGACCAATTTGATCCCTGCCAACAGAAGAGAGAGTTATAAATTGTCATTTGTTTAGGTAAAATACATCAAATCTGCTTATAAATGACAAAAACACAAAGAAAATGTGACTATAATGACTCACATTAGTGCTGAGAGCATAACAATTTTCCTTACTTATGCACTCGTTTCACAATTTTATTATTATCAACCACCACAAACCAGGTTGTCCCAGTTTTTTATTTTGAAAATCTGGTCACTCTATACTACTTTTAAAGGGTCCATTAAATATTACAGGCTTTTATTTACTTACTTGCATTACTTTGTGCAAGCGAATATGCACAATCTAAGATTTCTTTAAGATGATGTAATCTGAAACCCAGCCATAAATATGGAGTGTTTGGACAAGGCTTTCTAGTTTCTTATTTGTTTACAATGAACAATAATCTAGGACATCAATTAACATAGTACTGTTTTTACTGGCCAGTTGGACATTTGAGCATTCTGTGAAACAGTCTATAAGCCCCCTGATTTCTGCTTCATGTTTTTATTATTAGACTAAACATCAAGTGACCCCCCCCCCCCCCTCCCCGTTACTCATCAGTTCCTCCTGCTGCCACTTGGAGCATCAAAACGTCCATTACTTTGTGCAAGTGAATATGCACAATCTAACATTTCTTTACAATTTATAGAATATTTATCCACGTTAACCGTAAAAACGCGTTCTTTTCGTGCCTAGTATCCTCCTTAAGACCTAAGAGTTCGTTGTTTTACGCGGCCGTTGAAATAACAAAGCCGAGCTCATTGGGATAGCCGCCTCGCTAGCTCCTCAAACCATCTTTATGAGGCAATCAGGAAGCCATAAACTACACGTACTCCTTTGACACAAGTTTTTGCATGTGACAAAAGCGCGCACATACTTACAGAGAGTTGTTTCTCGGCTGAAAAAGGACGGATCGTGCAGAGATGAGGGATTTTGGAGATGTCTCGGCTCTGTTCATTCAGCGGGGCGAACCACACTCACTTCCGCTGGCACCTGCTGCTCACTTCCGGTAGCGATAGAGATCCTCCCGTCCTCTACGCTTCGCTCTGATCTTATTTTTGCATCATTTTGGAAACGTGCTATTTTCTAAATAACTTGAAACTGAAAAAAGCAATAATAAATAAAAAATTACATAAAATTGTCCAACAAAAATCAAAAATTGCTTTTCAACTGTGATTCAATAGAAATATTAGAAAAAACAAAATAATGAAACTGGTCTGGACAGTAAACAGCGTCAGATTTCACCATCCGTCACTGTTTATGCCAAAGTGGACTTCATGTGAGGACATCACTGTTGAGAGCAAACCATAAAATAGTGAGACTGGAATTTGCCACAATGCATATTGACAAGCCAAAATGCTTCTGGGAGAATGTCCTTTGGACAGATGAGACAAAACTGGAGCTCTTTGGCAAGACACATCAGCTCTATGTTCTCAGATGCAAAAATGAAGCAGACCAAGAAAAGAACACTGTCCCCACTGTGAAACATGGAGGAGGCTTGGTTTTGTTCTGGGGCTGTTTTGCTGCATCTGGCACAGGGCGTCTTGAATCTGTGCAAAATACAATGGAATCTCAAAACTATCAAGGTATTTTGGAACGAAATGTGTTGCCTAGTGTCAGAAAGCTCGGTCTCAGTCATAGGTCATGGATCTTCCAACAGAACAATGACCCAAAACACACAGATAAAAACACACAAGAATGGCTAAGAACAAAACACTGGACTCTTCTGCAGCGGTCTGTGAGCTCAGATCTAATTCTCTTGAACATCTGTGAAATGAGCTGAAAGATGATGTCTGGGGAAGGAACCCTTCAAACCTGAGGCAACAAGAGCAGTTTGCTCACGAGAAATGGGTCAAAATACCAGTTTGTATCGTTTGTTTGCAGAGTTTGCCTCAAAAGGTTGTGCAACAAAATATTAAGTTAAAGGTATCATCATTTTTGTCCTGTCCAATTTTCAGTAAATTTTTATTTTTTATTGCTAATAAAAGTTATTTCAGTGATTATTGTTGATTTTTCTTTTATTGCCAGAGGGGAACCAACAATTTTGTCCATGACAAATATATATATATATATATAATTTATAAATTTATATATATTAATATTAGGCATTAACTGCCTGTTCCATATACAACCACATATATTTACTTACATATTTATTTAATTTAAATTATTTATTTTTTATGTCCAATAAAATATTTCCAGTGTTGCCACATTTTCATCAGAGAGACATATAGTCTCTCATAGTCATTACAAATGTTTATTAGGAAAAGATTTTGAAGAAAACATAACAAGCAAAGATGTGTTTTATTATTTATTTATTGATTTAAATATTTTACACACAGTCCATAATATCACATAAACATAATAACATAATGTAAATGTATTATATATGTGTTTATCATGCTTTAGTTAGTGTAATAACATACAGTACTTTTGAAATATAGATTGTACTGAATATACTGCATGCACATAACCTCCACAAATGTGGACTGAAGCGTACAGGGCTAATGTTAGAGGAACGTGCAGATGTTGGGGCATGGTCCTCACATGTCCCGCCCACAGTCTGGGCACAGGATGTCATCTTTGCAGGTGAGGAAGCCCCGCCCCACCAGGGACACGCTGCACTTTTTGCAGTTGAAACAGTCGTTGTGCCACTGACGCAGCTCAAACGAGATGTATTTACTACCCCCCAGACCTGAGGGAGAAAGACAGAAATAGAGAGAGAGAGAGAGAGAAAGAGAGAGAAAGAGAGAGAGAGAGAGAGAGAGAGAGAGGGGAGAGGGAGAGACAGAGGGAGAGAGACAGAGAGACCTTTAGCCAACGCTGCCATGTGACAAAGCACTGACACTCATGACTCCAATGAGACACACAAGAGGACTTAACGGGACTAAAGAGCCCTTTTAGTTCACTAAAGAAGTGAACTAAAACTAAAAGCGTGTTCCTACACACACACACGCACACACACACATACACACACACACACACAGTTTACCGCTGATGGGGGTGGTGCAGTAGGCACACTTCTTGGCAAACAGGTTACAGAAGCAGTCGAGACAGTAGGCAAAGTCGTCCCGAGATGTGAAGCGCTGTCCGGCCAGCTGCTGTTTACAGCCAATGCACACAAAGCACTCCTTGTGCCAGGGCTGGTCCCGGTAGTTGACCCCTCCTGTGGTGATGGGCTGAGGAGCAGAACAGAGTGTGTTATGTGGATGTCATGTATATCAGTGGAACAGTGCATTTGAGGACAGTACCTTCTTACAGTGCACACACTGCAGAGCAAACTGCTTCTCATAGCAGGGCAGGCAGTAGTTATGAGCATCTTTCTGGACAAAGCTCCTTGTGCCGATGGGTTGCTGACAGCGGTTACAGCTGAAGCAGTTCTCATGCCAACTGCTGCCTTTGTGCTCCATCTTTTTGGTACCTGTCACAGAGAGAACTGTCAGTGCTCCAGGGCATCTGATGTATTTTAAAGAAAAGTGTAATGCTGTTCTTACCAGGCATTATGGTCTTGAGGCAGCCATAGCACTTAGCTGAGTACTCATTACTGTAGCAGTCAGTGCACATGAGCTGATCGTCTTTGGTAGCAAAGGGCTTCTCCACCAGAGAGCGGCTGCACTTCACACAGAGGAAGCACTCACTGTGCCAGTGACGATCTTTGTACGACAGGTCCTACATCAGAGCCCGGGTCAGAAGGTCAGGCCCATCCACAGATAGCACCACAGAGAGGGAGAGTCGGAGCTTACCTTGCTGGTGCAGCCAATCAGCTGGAGGCAGACCTCACAGGTGTTGGAGAAGAGTGCCTCGTAGCACTTGATGCAGTAAGGCCTCTCCTCCTTCAGGATGTACTTGAGTCCATACAGACTCTCCTCACACTCAGTGCAGTCGTAACGCTCGGCCATGGCACTGCTAAAGCAAAGGGCCACACAGAGATATAGTCAAAGTATTTCAGTACCAAACACACATGAATACTAAACAATAACAACATGATTCCCATGAGTCCTGTCCTGACCTGGTCCACAGAGCTGAGAAGACAGTACAGTCACATGGGCTGCCTCAGAGTACTGCAGTAATAGAGTGCCACATGCGATCCATTATGTGCAGGAATGTAGCAAACAGCGAACAGACACAGGGCATGCTGCTCCGTAAATACCTCACTATAGTAATATGAATGCTGTGACTTTAAATCTAACTAATCCAAAGAGCGTCATTTCCCCAGAAGTACGCCTCAATTAGCTTCCATGAAAATCCTCAGCAAAACCAAAGCACAGGCTGATTGGGTTAAAGAGGAGCAGTCCAACTTTTACCATAAAACTGGTTCTTTTGGAACGGCTCTCTGGCTCCCATAAGCTCTCTATTGATACACATTCTGAATAATGAATCCAAAAATAAATACATAATTTTTTTGTTTTTCCTATATTTTGTCATGATTTTAAGAAAGAATCTCTCATTATTTTCTCTTCATTTCTTCACTTGTGTTGGGGTTGGCAGAGGTAACAGGGGATCCTAATTGCCACTAACAAGTAACTAATTACATGTACTCAGTAATTTAATAGATATTTCAGTAATAGTACTTCTTTGAGTAGATTTTTGAACCTGTACTTGTATTTGTAATTGAGTATAATTGTAGTATATAATTGTACTTCATTACATTTTGAATAGAAGTTACTGAGTGAGTACAGTTCAAGTCCCAATTTTCCAAATGTGCAGCTGTCTCACTCTCTCTATATTACACTGACAAACACACAACAGCAATGCACTGTCTGCTAGTACAGGTAAGCATTTGTCTACTTTTAGTTAGGTGAAAAATTTGGCTGTAGCAATTGTACTTGTAATAGAGTATATTTTAGCCATGAGTTAGGATATTTTCAGTACTTTTTCATCCAATTGATTTCATTACATACATGTCACAGCATTAACTTAATGAGAAAAAGTGTACACTGTTTATTTTTATTATATTATTGTTTTTAAAAATCCTCATAATTTAATTTAATCTGTTAATCTGATCTGGGAATATAATGTACTCTGCATTTTACTGCTCCAATAAAAAAATAAAAAAAAAACTGCAGGAGAGTACAATGCAATACTGTAGAAGTGATATTTGTAAGACTTTTTTTCTAATGTATACTTATTTTTTTCTTGGTCAATGGCGACTTTCATTCATTTTACAGTTCAGGTTTATTTGCCGTACACTTTTGTTAATTCAATTTTAAGTTTTGAATCATGAATATGCTCTCATATGACACGTAAAAAGTTGAATTCCATAGTCATATACAAGACACACTTTGAATGTAACGTATAGCAGTTTATAGTGGCATTCAAATTATTAAAAAACATAATAGTACTTTTGAAATCAAGGTATTTCCATTTCTTTTAAAAAATAGAGTATAAAGAACAAGTAGTGACAAGTAAAATGTACTAAGAAGAGCATTTGCTCATAAAGTGACTTACCTTGAGTGTGTGTGTCTCCTCTTCTTCACTGCTCCTCCGCTCTGGCGCTCTGCGTTTTAAAAGTGAGCAGGTCCGGTGGGTGGGGGGGGCGGATAAATTCAGACTGCTATATATTGACAGGTCAACACTGGATGACCCCCACAGGCAGTGTTCAGACCAGAGCTATAGACATCTGCTAAGTATTAGTAAATTAATGATATCTAAAGGGCCACTAGGCCATATTATGATTTCAAATTCCATAAAGATGACCAAACTGTGTGACCTAACTAGATATGAGGTTATGGTCAAATCTATTTTCTGATAACAATTGTAATGCAGATATTTGTAATGCAGATATTTTTCACATCAGGTTAGTGACGGCATCAGAAACATTATTTAAAAAGAGTTTGAGAAAATGTATGATATTTCATAATAATATTTGATAATCATTTAATTGTGGATGTTTCATTGTAGTTTAATCCATGTTTGAATCAAATGTATTTAATCTAAGGTGTGTAAATGTCATTTTTTAGTAGTGCACAACTATAATGTTAAATTTTAATGTATTCATAAGGTGGAGGCTTTGGGGGGTTTGCCTCTTCTGGCACCTTTTTTTTTTTATCTAGTGTGCTTTTTACTGTTATATGTTATATATGTGCAAAGTAAGTAAATAAATAAATAAATAACTACAAAAATACTGGACATGAGCCCCCATTTATTAATATGGTTTTGTTTTGGTTGCTTTGGTTCTCAAGACCATCAGAAAGCAGAATGAGCTCCATGTGAGTCTCTCATTTGGGTTGCTAGGTTCAATGCTGAAATCCAGTTGGTTTAAATGTAAAATGTCTCTCTCTGTTCTGAATTTTCTAAACCCAGCCCCTGCAGTGAATCATGAGTCAGTAATAGTGCAGCCTCTGCAGCTCAGGGACGGAATTCTGGAGGTTCTGAGCTTTTATGTGAAGCCTGGTCTGTCCATATACTGAGAAAAATTTGTATGGGTCCTTTGTGTTAGGGTTAAGTTCAGTTCAGAACACAAGATCCATACAGTCCCTTTAAGTGTATCAGGGTCAGGATACCTGGTATTTGTAATTGTGATAATTGAAGTCACAGTGAAAAAATCATGAAGGAATTTTGAGCAGCAAAAGCAACAACGTATAATGGTAAAGATCAGGAGAGCAGCAGTCACCTACTGTTCGTGAGAGGTTGCCCCAGCAGCATTAAATAATGGATTAAGGTGCACTGTGTAACCAGGGATTTGCCACCTTTTTGTCTCCATGGAGATTGCTTTGACTGGAATGCTCATAAATAAATACAAATAGTCTTGAAAATGTGGGATATTCAATAGGGATGTCCTGATCAATTTTTTTTGCCCCCGAGTCTGTTATGAGGCAAAGCATAAGACTGAGTTGTTCTTGAAGCGTGTTTATTACACCGTTAGCACATCTTAACAGCGGCGCACACTTGAACTCATTTATATCCAACTTAACCGTAACGTATGCCCTCTAGTGGTAGTCTTTGCTATATACGTTAGCCGCAATAGGACAAACCTCACAACATCTTCCCCCTTGAAAAACAAAACAAAAAACACCGTTTTAGCAGTACTAGACTTTAGCTGAATGTTCGAGTAATCAAATGGTGTACTAAATACACAAACAAAATATACATTTTGGTAACATAAACCATAAATATATACATATTTTCAAAAATTAACAATAATCAATATAGAACAGTGCAGGACATCATTGGGGTAGACTGCCCTCAGTCCTGAAAGGGGTTATTTTGCCCTTTTAACATCAGTCTCTGAATCGAAGAGGCATTTTTATCTCTCGGCCCCTTGAGGTCATCTGCACAGGAGTGTCAGGTTGTGTGGGAGGCCCTTGGAGAGGACCTGCAAGTGGCTAGCTTGTCGGAGGATCTGGAGAAGCTGCCGCTGCTGTAGCGGGGAACACGTCCTGCGGTGATGTGGTGGTGTCGTCACGTTGTTGTTCAGAATTCTCTGCTGTCCCAGGAACGGCCTGAAGATGACGTCTGTTGCGACGGGCCACCTTTCCACTGGACATTTCCACGAGGTAGGATCTTGGCTCTTTGGACTTACTGATGACTTTAGCAGGAGTTGTCCATCCCTTTTCCCCATCAGTCTTCACTCTAACACTTTGTCCAGGGTGAAGTTCAGAGAGTGGTCGAGCTGAATGTCTGCGGTTGTAGAAGAATTTGTAAGAGTCTTTAGCTGCATTGTCCTTCAGGAGGACTTGGTCTGGATTGATTGGACACGGCAGTAGTGTCTTTTCAAGTACAGGGACAGTGGTTCAGATTTGTCTCCCTGTCATGAGCTGTGCAGGACTAGCCCCAGTTGCTGCGATTGGAGTGGAGCGGTAACTCATAAGTGCTAAGCAGGGGTCGGGCTGTTTGAGTATGTACTTTGCAGTTTGTACAGCTCTCTCAGCAGCTCCATTGGACTGTGGATAATGAGGGCTGGAGGTTATGTGAGAAAAATCATACCTCTGTCTGAAGTCTTGGAACTCTGCAGATGTGAACTGTGTTGCGTTGTCACTGTCCAGTTCTAGCGAAATACCCCATCTCACAAACGTGTGCTTTAGCTTGTTGATCACTTGTCTGCTGGTGGTGGTGGTGAGAGAAGCAATCTCAATGTCTCTAGAAAAATAGTCAACAGTGACAAGATAACTTTTACCCTCCAACTCAAACAGATCCACTGCAATTCTCTGCCACGGACCAGTGGGCAGTGGAGATGTAACCTGCGGTTCGCGCCTCTGTGTGGGTTTGTGCTCTCTGCAGAAGTTACATGTCCTCACTTTGCTTGTGATTTGTGCTCCAATCTTGGGCCACCACACTGTGAGCTTAGCTCGCTCCCGGCACTTGGTGAGGCCCTGGTGACCTTCATGCAGCTGGTCCAGGACACCGGATCTGAGAGCCCTGGGGACCACAATCTTGATACAGCACCAGGCCTTCAGACTCTGACAGGTGGTTTCTGGCTGTGTAATATCCATGCAGTGGTGAGCGCTCAGTCATTTTGCAAGGCCACCCTTTTCGGATGAAGGAAATCACTTTTTGAAGTTCTGAGTCTTTTTGAGTCTCTCTGCATATTTTCTCTAGTTTGTTTGACATTATCGGTTTGCTTGCCACAATAGAGTTTGCATATGCCTTTAGTTGTGTTTCGGTCTCTGGCACCTGACTGTTTTTCAGTGGATGTCTTGAGAGCGCATCCGCGACCACTAACTGTTTACCAGGAACATGTTCAGCAGTGACATTGAAATGCATGAGGTGCATTAGCAGTCTTTGACATCTCAGTGGCATTTTGTCAAGGTCATACGAGTTGATTAGTGGCACTAGAGGCTTGTGGTCAGTTTGTAAACGAACATTTCCCATACCTTGGATGTAGCGGGTGAAACGTTCACAGGCCCAGACCGATGCTAAACACTCCTTTTCGATCTGTGAATATCTTTTCTCTGAGTCTGTGAGAGTGCGAGATGAAAAGGCGACTGGGCGCAACTCTCCATCATGGTCCTGTAACAGTGCAGCACCCAGCCCATAGCTGCTGGCGCCCGCACTGACCACTGTCGGTCTGCTTGCATCGTAGTAACACAGAGCTGGTGCAGCCACGAGCATTGCCTTTGCTTTATTAAAGGCTCGGTCCTGAGGCTCACCCCAAACCCACGCAGTCTCTTTTCTGAGCAGATTGGTTAACGGGTGCAAAACAGTGGACAGGCCTGGCAGAAACTTCCCCACATAGTTTACAAGTCCGAGCACCTGTCTCAACTGTTTCACATTTGACAGGTTGGGCATCTTAGCAACAGCCTCCACTTTTGTCTCATCAGGTTTCACACCATCCGCACTAATGATGTCCGAAAAACTGCAGCTCTGTTTTCCCAAAGTGACACTTGGCCCTATTAAGCTTGAGACTGGATGCTTTGACTGTGTGCAACACCGCACTGAGACGTCGGTCATGCTCTTCTTAAGTAGATCCAAACACAAGGATATCATCCATAACAACGACTGTCCCATCCAGGTCTTTTAGCAGGTCACTCATCAGTCGCTGGAAAATCTCAGGCGCTGATGTAATGCCAAATGGTAGATGCTGAAAACAAAACCTTCCCATAGGAGTGATGAACGTGGTCAGTTTTTGACAACTTGGGTCCAGCGGGATTTGCCAGAACCCGCTGGAGGCGTCTAGAGTGGAGAAGACCTTTGCTCCGGCCAGCTTTGGTGTTACGTCGTCCAGTGTGGGTAGGATGTAGTGTTCGCGCTTAACTCCTTTGTTCAAGTGTTTCAAGTCCACACACACTCTGACCTGATCCTTGTTGTCGATTTTAAAATCCACCGGGCTGCCATTGACCAGTAGCTCAATGTCCCACTCAGTGTCTGCATTTGACTCCTTGATGACTGTTGGCTTTGACTTTGCTGCTCCCAGGAAAAGCTCTCCAATGAAAAATGAATCTTCATCTGAATCCATTACAGCCTCAGCTCTGACTTCTTTTAGCATTTTAGTTTTGCATGTCACCTCGAAATGTCCATCTTTTATTGTGAGCAGGGCAATTTTCTCTTTTACCATGCACACCTTTGACAGTTCTGCTTACTTTCACCGTATTTCTGCCTATGTGCCTGTGTTCGCAGTTTGTCATTGCTCCTTCTTGCGTAATTGTAATGTTTTTGCTTCACCTCATTCACAGTTGTCTCCAGGTGCTCTGCGCTTTGCTGCTTTACCTGCTCACTTTGACACGCTAGCTGGACGGCTCTCTCCAGTGTCAAATCCGCCTCTAGTTGCAGTTTTTGTGAGACCTCCTTGTCCACTAATCCAATGACGATGCAGTCTCGGATCTGCTCGTCTTTGCTAGCGCCGAACTTGCAGTGCTGCGCGAGCTCATAGAGGCTTCGCACAAAAAACCTCCACTGTTTCCTCGGCCCTTTTAGTCGGGGAGCCAAAGTCTCAAAAATGGGTTGAACCTGACATCGCCTGCCATACTTTTTATTTGTGTTTTTTTTGTTAACTGTGACCCTGAGGACCAATAATTGGAGGGTCTGCTCTTCCGGAAATATCGCGAAAAAAAATTGTGGCCATTTTAGTGTTGATAAC